TTTTGGTCATAAACGTAGAGGCGTTACTCTGGTCATTTACCATTGCAAGTGGTAAAAGTGTGAAAGCATGTTTGCAGTGCCTGCACCCCACCAGAACCAGATCTGTCACTCCAGCTCTAGTTGGAATTCCATAATTGTGTAAAACCGAAGTGCCTTCCTCACCCAGAACCCCATCCAATTGGCTCTCCCCTTCTGGGCCGTCCTTGGAGAACTACCGCACGGAGACGCACCCTCCTGAGGCGTCCCAAGACCAGGTTTTAAAAATGTACCTTCCTCAAAGGTTTATTTGCATATACCTCAACATTGGGCTATCAAGTGAACTCAAAATTCCAAACCGAACCTTTCCACCTCTTAGTTTTCCCCTACAAAGGGCAGGCCTCCCCTGTACTGCCCCTTGCAGAGAACTTGCAGAAATCAGACATGAACTTGGGCATTGTGAGGGTGTTGTGGACTCGGTCAGAGCGGTGACGTGCAGTGGATACTTGTCATTTCGCAGTAAATGTGATGTTGATGCTGCTTGACTGGCTTATGCTGTAAGATGTTGGTGTCCTTTCCCCTGGTCATTCTTGGTAACCTTGACCAATGCATGTGTTGCACAGCTGAATGATCAAGGTGCAGCTGAAATCCCATGAGTGGGAGGGAGGGAGGGAGGATGTATATATAGATAGAAATATGGACTTTACAGGGATGCTTTTGACTTGTTTGACTTTTGTGCACTTGCTAATATTTGTAATGTGTGAATGTGTTATATTATAAAGATTTATTTAAAAATATTCAATATTGATTTCTGTACAGTATTTTTATGCAGATAAATCTTGTACATTTTAAAGCTATTTAAAGATGTATTTTCTTCACTCGTTAACTTTGTTTGTAACTATCCTAACTGTCGTCTTTTCTCCAGTCCCTGAAAACGCACCACAATGGGGGCCTATAAATACATGCAAGAGATCTACCGCAAGAAGCAGAGCGATGTGATGCGTTTCCTGCTGCGTGTGCGAGCCTGGCAGTACCGCCAGCTCAACAAGCTGGTCCGTGTCCCAAGGCCCACTCGCCCTGAGAAGGCCAGGAGGCTCGGCTACAAGGCCAAGCAAGGTACGAAATTCTTACTAGGGGGCTTTGAGTTTGATTGGAATTCTTTGCAATGTTTAGGGGGGGAGTTTCTGAAGATCTTTAATTTAAGTAGGAAAGGCTTGAGCTTTAAAGTTTGTAAAATGATCAAAGCTACTGACATGATGACCAATTATGCATCACCAACCGAGTGTCATGACGACAAATCTACACCGAAATTGCTGAGCAGCTTTGAGACTAGGTGGAATACAGTAGGAAGAATTAGGTATTTATGGTGTCTACTTTCCCAGGCTTCGTCATTTACCGCATGCGTGTGCGCCGTGGAGGCCGCAAGCGCCCCGTCGCTAAGGGTTGCACATATGGCAAGCCCAAGAGCCACGGTGTGAACCACCTGAAGCCTGTGCGCAGCCTGCAAGCACTGGCAGAGGTGAGTGTTGTCCCACATGGATTAATATTGGTTTTGATTAGTATCTAAAAGAATATCAATTCTTCCAAGCTGATGTTAAAATCAAGGTACATGAAGAGGAAATATTTGTGGGGTATAGGGTAATTGGATTTGATTTTTTATAAAGTATAATTATCTAGAGAAATTTGTAGTCTGTGCAAAGATTCAAGATTTTAGTCTGTCTGGAAAGTGCTGGAAGGGAACAAGGAGGTAAGGTAATGGTTTCTTGCAGGAACGTGTGGGTCGTAGGCTTGGGAGTCTGCGCTTGCTAAACAGCTACTGGGTTGCCCAAGACTCCACCTTCAAATATTACGAAGCCATCCTCCTCGATCCCCACCACGACAACATCCGCAGAGATCCTTCAGTTAACTGGATGTGCGATGCCTCTCACAAGCACCGTGAGCTGCGTGGAAAGACTGCCGCCGGACGCAGACATCGTGGTCTGGGCCGTGGCATTGGCTACTCCCACACCAAGGGAGGCTCTCGCCGCGCACGCTGGCTCACACAGAACTCCCTCCAGCTGCACAGGAGGCGATAAACTTTTGTTTATTATTAAGCTCTTGGGCTTTATTAATAAAAAAAAAAATACAAAGATTGGAATGTTATTTTACTCCATCGGGGGTTAATAAAACTCAATTAATATTCATTCATCTTATTTGACCTCAAAAGGGAAGTAGTTGAAGGGAAATTTGAAGGCAAATCCATGATGGCAAATGATCTTTTGAAAAAAATGCTAAGAATACTCAGATTTAAAGCATAGGCCCAGAGTTGAACACAAATGTATTCTAACATCAGAAACCAAGTTTTCTTCAGTATTACCAGAACGAGCAATTCCATGGTAGGTGTGGCTTTTCTCACTAATGGGCAGAATCACATTGATCACAATTGAGGTTGGAACTGGTTGAGGCAATTTGCCTTGGCAACTTGACAATTTTTTTGTAATACTACTTTTCTAATCAATTTCCCCCACTGGTTGTAATGCTGTTCTTGCTTAAATTGCCGCTCATATCGAAATGATCTAGTGCACCTCAAAATAGATATGAGGTGCATTACCCAATCTTTAATGGTGTACTTCATCAAGTGAAGTGAATGAAAATTCAGTTTCCATTTGTCTACAGGGCCAAGGACTAAAGGTAAGCATTTTCAAATGAATATTTTTGGTAGTGTAATCTAGTTGCATTAGCCTAGGTTTTACACTAGTTGAAGTGAGATCAGAATTGAGCAAAGGTATTTTTGCAGTATATTTTTAAAGTATATTATATTGGTCATGCTTCTTGTACCAGCATTTTGCAACATGAGCCGAGTCCCATGGCTTGGCACCAAGAAGCAGCCAGTGGGCTAAGGCCAGGCATGAGGATAATTTATTTTAGGTAAATAATAATTCAAATTTATAGAATAACTGAATTGTGAAGTTTTAATATTGCTGTTATGACAGATTAGACATCACGAAAGGTCTTGACAAATCCCCGAGAACTGATATTTTTAGGATGATTCTAAGTTTAGAGGCTTCAGAATTAATGCATGAATATCTTTACAGTTTACATATGTTGAACATGTTGAGCCTCCAAACCCCATTGTTGAGGAATGTACATGTGGTAAATCAACGAGCCACTGAAGCGTCATGAACTTGTGGATGGTACAGGCTTTGGACAAGGTGAGCTGTCTTTACATTTTATCACTTTCTGGTAATTAATGAACTCCTGTTCAAGAGCATTCTATTTTCTCTAGTTTAGCATGGAAAGTGATGATACACCATGCACCACACAGATGGCCATGTTGAGTTTTGAATACCTATATCTGAGGACTTCAAATTTGTTTTTGTACCAAGTGGAATGCGAGTATTTTTAACCACCTTTCATGTTTTCAGGTATGAACATGTGAACTTTGCAGTGCTGTTGGTGACATAATTTCATTAGTGTACCTATTCACAGAAGAGTAGGCTGTGCTGCAAGGCAAGCAAGGTAAGAATCTGTTGCTGACCTATGGCTTAAATTTATTGCAGTGTGTGAAGAGCCAAGTAGCTTGTTCTGTTCCTCTTAAGCTGTTAATGACCAAGGTGTCCATGCAACTTCAAAATTTGAATACTTTAATCTGTTCCTTTGGCATGGAAGTAGAAGATTATGCATCTGAGTGTCTTGACACTTTCATGGACTTTCATGTATATTTAGTAACCCCAATTGGAGGCTCTAGAATGAATGTATTGGACATCCTTACAGTTCAAATCATAAGGTTGTTTGCTATGAAAGAATTATGTACAGAGCATCAGTTGGGTTTTGCTTCTTGTTGCATTTTCATATTTTTGAAGGATTTTTTTTTGTACCTGCTGTTTTAAAAATAAATTGATAGATTGCTATAAGAAGTTTTCAAAATTAAGTTCAGTATTCCAAGGATCATTTAAAATTTAAAAGCTACATCTTTAAAATTGCATTTGAATAGGCTTGTAAAGAATTGTGGCTTTATGAGGAGGAAATTAACTACCATAACTGGTACAACAGGATATGATAAGTCTACACAGGTTATCAAGTATATGTATTGGGGAATTTGAAGTCGTTTCTTAGGCTTAGTCAATCATCTTTTCCAGGTTGTGTGCGCGCTGCATGATGTGGAGGTGTGACAAGCCTAAGAACCGAACCGTCTGCAGTTGACATAAAGTGAGTTTTGAAAAGATCTTTTACAAAGTTTTACTTGTGGATTAGAACTTCAGTATCAAGAAAATACTTATTTAACCCATGTTCTTCCTCAAATCCTTGTAAATTTCTTGGAGGCATAAATGTTATAATTGCTTAAACACTATAGTAATGATGAGACACCATGCACCACACAGATGGCCATGTTGAGTTTTAAATACCAATATCTGATGATTTCAAGTTCAGATTTGTAAATAGTGTAATGAGTAATTTTTAACAGGCTTGTGTATTTTTAGGTATGAATGAGCATTGCAGCTGCTGCTGCTAGGAAAAGAAGCTTAACATGTATCTGCCGGGCCACGCCTATAGCTGTCATAAACACACATGCTGGCAAAGATATAGCTGTAGTGCTGCACTAGAGTGCGGCGAGCAGAAAATTCTGCAATGTGGGTGAATGGTTGCCAGAAGTCACTGGAGTCAGTGACACAGATTTCTGATGCCGTCATTGAAAGGTTAACAGTATACTAGTCTTGACATGCCTACGAAGGACTAAGCGGATGTGCTGGATAGTAAGCAAGGTAAGAAGCTGTTGCAGGTCTTTTCATTTTTGAAATATTTATTATGGTAGTGTTGTGACAAACAAAGTAGCTGCTAGATTTCCAGTATAAAAGATCTTGCGTGATATGATGACCAATTATGCATCACCAACCGAGTGTCTTGACGACAAACCTACACCGAAAATTCTGAGTTTTATAGATGAGAATTAATATTCAAATCTGTATAGAAACTAAAATTAATGTTTGAATATTCTTACAGAGTACATCAGTTTGTTGTGCAGCAGAGCCTACAAACATCCAGTT